ACACACACAATTCTTTTATATATATATAAGAAGACACCACTAAGAAAATTTTAAAAAACAACACAACTTGTCAAACACTGGGAGTAAATATTTGCAAATCGTATATCTGATTAGGAACTTTGTATCCAGTATATATAAAGAACTCTTACAAATCAATAATAGGCAAACAACCCAATTACAAATGGGCAAAATATTCTAGATGTTTTTCAAAATAAGATATATGAATGGCTAGTAAGCACATGTAAAGGTGCTCAACATTAGTTATTAGAGAAATACAAATTAAAACCAAAATGATATACCACCTCACACCCACCAGGATGGCTCTAATCAAAGGGACAGACAAGTGTTGACAAAGATACAGGAAAACAAATCCCATTGTTTCCCCATTGTTTCATATTGCTAGTGGGCATGTAAAATGGTACAGCCACTTTGAAAAAGTTTGGCAGTTTCTGAATAAGTTAAACATAAACTTATCATACAACCCAACAATTCTACTCCCAGGAATCTACCCAAGAGAAATGAAAATGCACATACAAACAAAGACACTTAACATGAACGTTCATAGCAGCATTAAAACAGCCAAAAACTGGAAACTCAAATGCCCATCAATTGGTATTGAATAGATAAACAAAAGGTGGCATATTCATACAATGGGATACTAAGCCACAAAAAGGAACAAACTACTGGTACATGTTACAGCATGGATGAACCTCAAAAACTTTATACTGAATGAAAGGAGCCAGAAGCAAAAGACCACATATTGTATCATTCCATTTAATATACGAAATGTCCAGAAAAGGCAAATTTATAGACAGAAAGCAGATGAGTGGTTGCCTAGGACTGGAGCTGAGAGCTGGATTGACTGCAAACAGGCAAGAGGAACCATTTGAGGTTGATGGAAATGTTCTGTAGCCATAGTTGCACAAATCTATAAATCATTGTTTTAAAATGAATGCTTTAAAGGTATGTAGAGTAGGTGACCTGTTAGTATACTATGGTGGGACTCCAGGGAGGGAAGACGCAGCGAGACAGCCTCCATTTCTAGAGTAGCAAAATGGGAATAATGATGTCAGGCTGTAGTGAGGCTGGCATGACAGGAGATGCAGGAACTGGGTGCACGTGATAGGAACATAGAACCTAAGGAGTGAGAGTCCCAAAACTTCTGGTTCCCAAATGCAAGGGGAGAGGAGGTCACTGCCCCAGGCTGTATCAACAGTTTAGAGTTTAAGAGTCATAAATACTCGAGTGTGTGACTATGGGGTGGTTTAAAATGCCATCCATGCCCCACCGCGCGTGGCTCAGCGGTTGAGCGTGGACCTAGGATCCAGGCCATCAGGGTTCCATTCCCAGTCAAGGCACATGCCGGAGTTGCCGGCTGATCCCCAGTTGCAGGAGGCAGCCGATCAGTGACTCTCATCAGTTTCTAGCTCTCTCTCTCCCTCTCCTTTCCTCTCGCTGAAATCAATAAAAATATATTTAAATAAAATGCCATCCACATGTTAGAAAGAAATGGCAACTATTCCACACCATCGGTGGACCCCCAGCCCTGAGACCCCACTCTTCCTGGAAAGCGTCTTGCAGTTTAGGATATTTCATTAGATTAAATAAGGCCGTGAAGTCCAGCGGACACCAGGTGCAGGACAAGCGCGGGAGCTCGGAAGGTGGTCTGGACTCGTGCACCCAGCCCAGAGCCTTCTGACAAAGGGTAGGATCAAAACATAGCAGCCGCCGCCGCAGCCGCCGCCGCAGCCTGCAGGGGGCGCCCGGACATAACGCGTGGCCCCGCCCCTTCACGTGCCCGCGGCGTCACGTAACACCCGGAAGCAGCGGCTGAAGCGGAGCCGGGCAGCAATGAGCGGGGACCTGGGGCCGACGTCTGCAGCGCCCCATCCTGGGGAGATCGAGCCGGGCAGCGGGGTCCGCATCGTGGTGGAGTACTGGTGAGCGGCTCCGGCCGGTGAGGTTCCGGTCCGGACGAGGGTGGGTCCACGGGCGGTCCCTAACCCGAAACCCCAGCGAACCCCAGGTATCGCCTCCCTAGTGAACCCTGCGGCTTCGAGGCGACCTACCTGGAGCTGGCGAGTGCCGTGAAGGAGCAGTATCCGGGCATCGAGATCGAGTCGCGCCTGGGGGGCACAGGTGAGGCCCGCGGAACACCTGCTGAGTCAGGGTTCTAAATCCCAGCCATACCGCTATCTCTGCCATTGGCTGCTTTAGTGACCAGCAGTATCTGGCACATAGTGAAATGTCCAGACAGCTTGACTCCCCTTCCACAGTTGAGGGGGGTCACAGATGAATCCTGTAGGGAAAACCCGGCGAGACTGTAGTATAGATTTGGAGGGAAGCCCTTCGTTGAATTCAAAGAAAGGACACACATTTGACACCTTCGGTAGGTTCCTGTGACTTGACCCAGGCTTGGGAAATGGCTTAGAGAACAAGTCTAATGGGGCCTGTGGAGGACATGAAGGAGCCTGTGCAGAGTATGAGTGTGGAGGACCTCCTGACTTTTGCCTGTTCTCAGCGTACAGTTCATTCATTGGTTTATTTAATACCAGGGGCCTTTGAGATCGAGATCAATGGACAGCTGGTGTTCTCCAAGCTGGAGAATGGGGGCTTCCCTTATGAGAAAGATGTGAGTATTTGCAATGTTGGGAGTGCCCCTGGTTCACTGTGCCTCTGCAGTGTATCATCCCATTCCGTATCTCTGCCCTCTAGCTCATTGAGGCCATCCGAAGAGCCAGTAATGGAGAACCCCTAGAAAAGATCACCAACAGCCGTCCTCCCTGCGTCATCCTGTGACTACATGGGATTCCGGGTTCCTGCTCTGTTCTGGGATCCAAGCGTTGGTCTCCCCTTTGGTCCTGCTGAGGGCTCCCCACTGCCTCTTTCCCCTCACTTAGCACCAGGTAGCTAAGAGACCCTAGCCTCCACTGTGCCCCTTTGGGTACAAGGAGGGAATAGAAACTTCTGTTGGCCTGGGGGGTGGGAGAGCCTCTCTATTGATACTACCACAGCTACCTTGTATACCCCTTCCCGGGATCAGTGTCCACAAAAGCCCTCGCTCCCAGCTCCAGCCTAGCCACGCCTATGAGGCCACTGTAGTTCTAATTTATTTTCTACTAGCCCCGGGCAATGTCAGCTATCGGCAATAAACTGGCACTACAAACACCTGTGCCAACTAGTGCGCATTATGTCCAGTCTGGGAGTGTGGGGGGAGGAGCAGGGGGTGCAGAGAGGCCAGCCCAGCCTTAATACCACCAGAGTGGCTGTGCTGGGTGGGTGGGCTTTTTCTGGATAGCTACTTCTGGTTCAATGATCTCTCATAGCCAAGGCAAGGAAAATTGAGTCACACAGTAGACACTGCCTCTTCTTTCCTCCCGTCCCCCACCTATAAGGAAGAAATTAGCCCATTATGGTGGGTGGGTGGCCTTAGGAATTTGGGGTTTTTTCCTAAGCAAGAATGATTTGGTTGGCAAAGAGCTCTCAGATCAGAATCCCAACTCCCAGATCCCCCCCAACCCAAAAGCCAGGAAGATGGAAGATAGGTTCCTCATTCAAGCTTCCTAAAGATTACTAGTCACTCCCTCCAGGAAAAGATGAGTTGAGTGTAGGTTAGGAGGTGAGCAGTAAGGGATGGTACAGAGCTACCCCCAGACATAGGCTGGTGCCCAGCTGTTTTCCAAAATATATTTTCAGATGGAGAAAGTGGGTATGGAGAAAGGACATCCCCAAACCCAGGGACCACCCCCCTTCCACAATACCCACTCTCCCCGAGTCCTTATTTCAGCTTTTTTTAAAAAAAAACAAAACACAAAAAACATAAGTAAAAACAAAACAAAAAAAGCACTCTGTACAAGGACTAGACCTGGGCACTACTGCTGTTCCCTTCTTTCTAGGGACAGAGCTAGGATTCAGAAACAGTCTGTGAATGGATTACTCTGGTCTAGACACTCCCTTCGGGCCTCTTCCCCTCCTAGGCCCAGCTTCTCTTAAGTCCTTCAGTGCCCAGGATCTGGAAGAAGAGAGCCAGGCTGGGCTGCTCCCTCAGGTGAAGAGACTGTGGCTGTGGCATCCATTGGACCCTAGTCTGCTGGGACAAGACTCCAAATTAATGAAGACTTCCTTCCCACTGCTGCCTCCTCTTCCAGCCAGGCTGGGCCCCTCTTAGCCACCTGGGAATTAGAATAGGAAGGAAGGTTCCTGGCATGGCAGGCTCCATTGGATATGGTCCAAGGGCCCTTGCCCCACATCATCCCGACACAGGCCGGAAGTCAGGCCTTCCCCACTCCCCGAGGGTTCAGCAGGGCCTAAGCAGACTTGGCCTTTTGGCTCATACTGGCACATCCAGGCCCAGGTACTCAGGGTTCTCTGCTGTAGGGGTCCCTTCAAAGGTGCTGGGTGGAGAGCCCCGCTCTGGTGGGTCCTGGTCCCAGTAATAGAGGTTGTCAAAGGCTGGGCTGAAGGCTGGAGGAGGGTGGGGCTCAGGGGCAGCCCTGCTGCGGGGTGCCAAGTACTCAGGATTCTCCACGGCACCCCCAAAGGCAAAAACGTCTTTGACAACCCCGTTCTTCCCAGGGGAGAGAGTCTTGGGGGAGAGAGTCTTGGGCCTTTCCAGAGTGGCACTGGCAGATCGAGGAGGAGGCAGAGGGCCCTCCAGGGGTGAGGGGGGCTTCGGGCGAACCTCTGGCTGGTTCACATATTCTGAAAGGGCAAAAGAAGGGGGCTTGTTAGGGAAAGGAACCCATGTGTCCCAGCCACTACCACAGCCCCACAGTGGGCCCCCAACTCCCAATCTTTCAGCTCAAGCCTGGATTCCATACCTGGCTGGGGGCTGCAGGTCAGGGGGGCAACATAGCCATCAGTCTCGGAGGGCAGGGATACTGTGGGGTCCTCACTGTACCGCTGTAGAGGGCTGGGGTCATGTGGGGAGAGGCTCTGCAGTCCCTTGGCTGCCCCCATACCCAAGTCGCTGTCAAACACATCAGAGCCTGCCCCTTCGGAGGGTGCCAGTGGAGACTTGGGGGGCTCTTCCTCAGAGGGCTCTAGCCCCAGTGTCAGATCACCACCGCCACTCTGGGGACAAGAGAAAAGGTCATGATGGGGGTCATTCATGGATTTGAGATGGAGACTCTATGGGAGGTGACAGGGTCATAGGAGATAAAGAGAGGTTACCTTTGGCATGTGGCCCAGTCACCACGGGGAGAATGGGGACATGGGTTGGGAGGCAGTAGGAATCCGTAAGGAAAATGGGATCCCCATGAGAGGTGATGGTTGGGAGGTATATCAGAGAAAGGGACCCTAGTCCATTAGGGTTAGGAGAAGTAACCACACCCACCACAGTGTGGCCAAGGGAACTGACCCTGGTGGATGAGCTGCGATGCCTGCGGTGGGCTGTGCCCCCAGCACCCGGGGCAGGGTCTGGGCAGAAGAAGCCTTGCTGGGGTACCAGGTACTCCTCAGCATCCACCAGGTCCCCCATGTCGTCATCTTCCAGCAGTGATCGGTAGAAGGTGCTGTCCAAGGGGCTAGCAGGGCCCAAGTCCTCATTCTGGGGAGAAGGGAGACAGAGTGTGGCAGCCTCTCCCCGCCCAGGACTCAGCCTCCTGAGGAAGGCTCAGGGAGGGACAGAGAATAATGAGTCCAACAAGGGGCTGGGCTTGGTGGCCTGAGGACCCAGGCATCATCTCCCTTTCCACCCTCTGTAGGGGAGTGCTTAGTTATAGGCAGGGATGTGGTGGGAAGGTCCAGTACCTGGATGACCACAAAGCGTTGGGGGTCCCTGGCCATGCGGGAGAATTCAGACACCAACTCCCGGAACCGAGGCCGACATTCAGAGTCAATCATCCAACCTGGGGGCAGGAGAAAGAAAGCTCAGGGCCACAGTCCCAGCAGCAGCCTGTGGGCTGCCCTGCCCCCTCCCTCTCCAAGCTTGTCTAGTGATTAGAGTCCAGGTACCAGAAACTTTCAGAATCTCTTGAAGTTTGCCCTTTTTATTTTGCATCTAAGTCTCTTTCTAGCTGGTTCTCTGGAGCTTCCCTGGACTGGTACTGTGAAAGGGAACTGAGACCTTTTGAGGCTCCTCTAACCACACTGAGGCCCCTGGGTCCACATACATTCTGCTCTTGGCCTCCTCCCGTGCCCCTTGTAGACGCTCTTCCCAGGACCTCCCACTCGTCCTCCAAAAAGCCAGCACAGCTCCACCACGTACATTTCACCATGATCATGTAGACGTCGATGGTGCAGATAGGGGGCTGGGGCAGCCGTTCCCCCTTCTCCAGTAGGTCAGGGATCTCCCGGGCTGGGATCCCATCGTAAGGCTTGGCCCCAAAAGTCATCAGCTCCCACACAGTCACACCTGGGCAGAGACAGGATCGAGATGGGGCAACAGAAGGAGCTTTAGTATATGAGCCCCAGGCTCTGTCCAGGGGCCAGGCACCATGGGGAAGACAGGGAGGGATGTGCTGCCAGAGGGCAGCAGCTACCTTTAGTCCCTCCCCAGCCCCTGGGACATGTATAGACCCTGACAGATTGAGTCCTGCAGCACCTCCCTTCCATCCCACATTTATGCTAAGGTATCTCCATTAATTCTCATTCTTTCACCAACATCCCCGCCATGGACAGGACCATGGTTCCTCATCCACCCCTCCCAATGCTCCCCACCACGCACCATAGCTCCACACATCACTCTGGTGGGTGAACCGTCGGCGGAGAATGGACTCCAGCGCCATCCACTTGATGGGCACCTGGAAGAGCAGAGAAGAAGTCCTTGAACTGGGTATGCTGGGAGTGGCCACTCTCAGAGTTCTCCCAGGGCCCAGACCCCACTCCACCTTGCCTCACTCCACTCCCTCCTAACCTTGCCCCCATCCGCATGGTACTCTGTCTCATCAATGTCCAGTAGTCGAGCCAGCCCAAAGTCTGTGATCTTGACGTGGTTGGGACTCTTGACCAGCACATTCCGGGCAGCCAGGTCCCTGTGCACGAGCCGCACGTCCTCCAAATAGCTCATTCCCTGGGATTGGAAGCATCTTTATTAATCATGCTCTGGCCACACTCTCCCAGGAAACCTGATCCTAGCCCTGCATGGGGGCAGGCTTGCTCCCAAGAGCACCCATAGAATCCAGACCTCCTTGGTGCATACCTTGGCAATCTGCACACACCAGTTCAGCAGGTCCTGGGAGCCCAGGCGCCCGCGGTGTTCTCGGACGTGGTCTAGGAGGCAGCCATAGGGCATAAGCTGTGTCACCAGCTGCACCGTGGAGGTCAAGCAGATGCCCAGGAGGCGTGACACATATGGGGAGCCCACACCAGCCATCACATATGCTTCCTGGGGACAAGGGTACACACTAAGAGGGTGTGGAAGACCACAAACCCCAACCACCACACGCTGCTCCTGAGGGCCAAGGTGTGACTGGAACCCTCACTGGATCTGGCCCCATCTAAAAACCAGAACCACAGCCCACAGAATGGGGAGGTTAAGAGTCGAGGTTTGGGGATAACATAGTGTCTCTTCAAATCCCAGTGAAGAGGGGCCTAGATCCTGGACCTGCAACCAGGTGTCCCTCCTGTACTCCCAGCTGGGGACGTTGGAGGGACTTACATCCAGGATTTCTTTGTTGGCTTTAGGAGATGTGTTTTCCCTCAACACCTTGATGGCTACTGGGATCTTCACATTCTCCCCATCAGGGATCCAGATGCCCTGGGCAGAAAGAGGAGCATGTGAGCAGGAGACAGGCCAGCCAAATCCAACCTGCAGCCATCCACAAAGCCATCCTTTGTGGTCCCCACCCTTGAGCCAACCGCACAATTTAGGAACAACCTCACTATTTAGCCCCACACTCCAATCCCTTTCCCCTTGTTGGAGCCTCTATAACTGCCCTACTAAACACCGCCACCCCCAGCTCAGGGCTGCCTTCCCCAACAGAACCCTGGGCCACACACCAATGCATCCTCGGGGACCACCCACCCTGGACTTTGGTCCCACCCCTGACCTTGTAGACTGTGCCAAAGGCTCCGGATCCAAGCACCTTCACCTTCCTCAGCTCTGTCTCTTTGAGGATCCGCATCTGAGCCTGGTTGGGCATTGCTCCACTAGGTGTCAGCGGCTCCACCAGCTGGGGTGAGGGGGTGACCCTGCATCAGTGCCTGGGGAGCTGGGCTGCAGACCCCGAGCAGGTAGGGAGGCCCTCAGACCAGCTCACCTCCGTTTCCTGCAGCAGCCTCCGCATCGTGTACTTCCGGATCTTTTGCCGCCGCCTCCTGATTAGGATGCCGAGGACGATCCCCACAACCATGACCAGCAGAGTGCCCACCACGGCAGCAATGATGGATGTCACGGGGCTGCAGACAGGGGCCAAGGTCATGGGTTGGGGACCAATCTTGGCTAGAAGGGCTGAAGGGGCCCCATGGAGGGGCATGGTGTTTGGAAAGGGGATTTGGAAGGGTGACCCACAGGCTTCTATCCTCTCTTGACTATTTTAAAAACTCCCTTGGCTCCCTACTGCCTCCAGGATGGAATCCAAACTCCTTGCCGGGCATTCAAAGCTCTCACTACCCACATCTCCAAATTTTCTATGCTCTTACCCATGGCTCTAGCCCAGGATTCTCAAACTTCCTGACAAAAATCACTGAGCTTGTTAACGTGCACAAGTCTGGAGCCACACCCCCAGCAATTCTGATTGTGGTAATGGGGTGGGGCTCAGGAATGTGTACCCAGTGATTCCGATGTTCTAGCCAAGTTTTTCACCTATAGGTCATGATTTTCCACACCTCCCAACCTCTGCACATGCGGTTACTTCTGCCTGGATCACCATTTCTCCATGGCATCATCTTTCAAGATTCAGCCTAGGAGAGATGACACTCCTGGGTGTTGACCCTCCATCATGTCCTCCTTGTCCCCTCCCGTGCTGGCACATTGCAGAACTCTAATGAATGCTTGTTTCATGGACAAATGATTGCCTAGGGCATAATCCAATCTTTTTCTCCCCCAAGCCCTTCCCCAAGCTCTCCACTGCCCAGAAACCAAGTCCAACCCTGTGGCCTGGTGGTGAGGGAGGGCCTGTGCCCTCCAAATCCAGCTCGAACCTGACTCAGACTTCACCCTCTACTCCTTTCTCTGTGCTTACTTAACAGTGCACCACACCAGAACCTTCCAGCAAACAAATCCTAGATTTTTCCAATCCTTTCCTCACAATACCACTTAGTTACCTTCCCCCTAATGCAAGTGACATACCTGCCCCTCTTTAAAGGCCTGGCTCAAATGCCACCTCCTCCTTGAAGCCTGCCTCCACCCCTGTTAAGAATTCACCATTCTCTCCCTCAGTGCTGCAGCTGCACTCTCTTCTCAATCTTCCTCAAGTACCAGGGTGCCCTAAGAGACATCTAGCTACTCAAGGGTGGGGAGGTACTGGGTATCTGTGCCGTCTTTTCCTGTTTCCCACCCCGCAAACATCCTGAGCAGGTCCTCCATCCACTTGTTGAAGTGAATTGGAAGGAGTATCAACAGTGGGAGAGTGGGCAGGAGAGGGACATGTGTCATGTCAGGAAACCCCCCCACTTCAGGGGTGACCATCCAGGGGCCAGTGGGGGACTGAGGGGCAATGTGGGACATGTCCTGGGGACCAAGCTGACCTGGCTCTCTGCTCTGCGGGGCAGCCTTTGTCATCCAGTTCCACACAGCTGCGGGAGAGAGAGTCCTGTCAACAAGGCTGGGAACCACCTCCTGGGCTCACTCCAGCCTCCCAGCAACCCCGGGGGTAGGTGTGGCTGTGTTATTATCCCCATGGACAAAGGCAGAAACTGGGCTCAAGGTCACCATCGATCTTCCCTCCACCCCACAAGGGGATCCCTTCCAGCCTACGAACCCACTCCCCCTGCTCCCCTGCACCTCCCTGTGGTGTGCCCTGTGGGGGTACCCAAAGGAGCACCAAGTCCAAAAGCTCAGCCGGGGAGTAAACTGGCACAACTTCTGAAGAGGACAGTTGGCAACACCCATTAAATAATGTCTGTGACACAGCAGTTCCATCTCTCAGGGTGTAGCCTAGATGCCCAAATGTGCACTAAAAACACCTCTCAGGATGTACCCCCAAAATGCCAACACTAGGGGGAGGGCCTGTATAAGATGTTCACTTGTACATAGAGCTCAAGTGCAATAAACTGAAAAAAAAAGGAGGGGAAAAAGGACCTGGCTGGTTAGCTCAGTTAGCTCATATCCTCCTGATATGCCAAGGATGTGGGTTTGATTCCTAGTCAGGGCCCATACAAGAAGCAACCAATAAATGCATAAATAAGTGGAACAACAAATTGATGTTCCTCTCCCTTCCTCTCTCTCTAAAAAACAATCAATAACCCTAGCTGGTTTGGCTCAATGGTTAGAGCGTTGGCCTGCAGGACTGAAGGGTTCTGGGTTCAATTCCGGCCAAGGGCATGTACCTCAGTTGTAGGCTGCATCCCAGGCCCTGATCTGGGTGCGTGCGGGAGGCAACCAATGGATGTGTCTCTCTCACATCAATGTTTCTCTCTCTCTCTCCCCCTTCCACTCTCTGAAAAGCAATGGAAAAAAATATCCTCAAATGAGGATAAAAATAAATAAATAAAATTATCTTTAAAAAAAAAAGAGAAATAATCAAAAATTAAAAGAAAAAAAGAAAAGCTCAATCAATACCCCTCCAACAGGGGCATGGTTAAATAATATTACATCCACGCTACAGCTCAAGCAGTTCAAAAAGCTAGGGGGTAGATGCATGTGCACTTGCAAGAAAGGGTGTCTGAGGCACACAAAGCGGGGAGGGGTGCTGGACAAAGTGCAGAACAATATCCCAACTATGAACCCATTTACAATAAAAAAGCACACACAAAACCCAAAACTGATTATATATGAGTTGAACTATATGAAATTGCTGTTTTTGACCTACAAACCAGCAATCTCATATTGACTCAACCTAATATAAACGTAACATGTTTTTGTGAATGTGTAGAGAAGAGCCTGGGAGGATGCACACCAGAGTGAAGCCGGTGGTTCCCCAGCGAGGGGTGGAGGGAGGGGCAGGGAATGTTTATACTTCTATATTGCTGAATGTTTATCACAAGGATGTATTCACATATTTCATATATAATTAAAGACAACTATGTGAAAAAAATAAAAAGAATAGGGTATACCACTGTGGTAGGACATGAAAAAACATTGTAAGATTCTGTCAAGTGAAAAAAAGCCATTTGCAAATAATACATATGGTCTATGCTCCCATTTTGATTAAAAAGAAAGTTAGAATATAGACAGATAAAAACTGGAGAATAATAATATATATTAACATATATATTACATGTTATAATAATATATATTAGAATGCACAGATAAAAATAAAAAACTGGAGAGTATAACATGTTATAATAATATATATGTAAGTGTGTACACAGATAAAAATTAGAGGAAAAACTACAAATTATTAACAGTGGGAATAGAACTGCTAGCAACACTATATTTTATGTTTTAATTAAAAAATTTTAACATGTTACTTTTGTGATCAGACACAAAAAAGTGAAAAACCAAGTCTCAGTGTAAGCAAAGGCAGAGGTGTCCCCTTTATAACTGCAGAGGCTCCTGGAACAAAGCCCTCGTTTCTGCAGAAAAGGCCCTCAGACTCACGAGTGGGTGCAGTTGATGGGGCACGGCTGGCATGTGCCCTCCTCATCTGGGAACTTCCAGATGGGCATGAAGGAGAGGTCAGGTTTCACACCACTGGGGCATCGAGCCACACAGAAAGGAGAGTCCTTGTAGTGGGCACAGGCCATACACTGGTCAGCCTCCTGGGAAGGGAGGAAGGATTTGTGGGGGGCTGACAGTAGGATCAGACACCTGGGCCCCCTTTGAGCTTCTGACTGCCACTCAGTGGCACTTTTCACGCTGGTCCTGGGACACCCTAGACCTGCTGTGTCTACTGTCCCTGCTCTTCACCCAGATTCATTCCCCCAACCCCCACTTCAAAGCTTGATCCCTGAGCTGGGGGCTTCAGATAAAGCACTGGAAGCCAAGGAAGGGAATTCATTACTTAAAGTATAACAGCAATAATAGCTAACGTACAGAAAGCCTTTCCTGTGCTCAGGCACTGTGCCAAACCTTATTTTACATTAATTCTTACTCTACCCTAATAAGGCAGATACTAGGTATGATACTCATTTTACAAATGAGCTTGGAAGTAGGACCTGGATTTAAATCCAGGTAGTCTGATGCCTAAGTCCACAAGTCTAACCACCTTGGCACAGCCTCAGACAAGAACACAGGCTTCCCTGGGACTTGGCACAGTCTGAAGGGTCTCAGGGTCCACTACACAGTCCCCAGCATCGGAGGCTCCTTCCACCCTCCCGCTGTTCCACCCTCCTGCTGTTCAGGTTTGAGCGAGGGGCTCTCTCCACAGACATTTTACCAGACTTGGCCAGGTCCCTGGCAATCTTCCCCAACCCACCCTTGCTTCCCTCCACCTAGCGCCGAGCCCACCAGCGCCTCACCGATCCTAAGCACGTCACTGAGCCATTCTGGGGCTGACACTCGGAGTGGCACGGCAGACAGTGCCTGTCCTTCACATACTCCCGGGGGAGCCTGTGAGAGGCGATGGCTGGTGAGGAGGTCTGGAAGGAGAGGAGCCCGTGCACCCCTCCGGCCGCCCCCTGCTCCACCCTGCATACCCCTGCAGTACTCGGCACTCCTCCACGCACTCCTGGCCCCGAAGGAACTGGCTGCAGTTGACGCACTGGGTGGGCCCCGGACCCCAGCAGTGCCCGTGGGCGCACAGCGGGTAGCAGGCCAGGCCCTCACCCACTGCAGTGAGGAGGAAAGAGTCAGAGGGGACTCTTAAGGGAGGCTCGGGTCAAGTAAAGCAGGGGAAGGGGCTGTGGTGGTGGGTCTGGGTTGGAGGGGTGGGAATAGGGCTTGGGCAATGCAGGGAGAAAGAAGAGTCCTGAGGTTCCAGGAACACAGAGAAAAGGGGAGGGAGGGATGCCAAGGCAGTGAGGCAGGACTCAGCCAGAAGCCATGCCAAGTGGTCAAGCCAGCCAGAGCTGTGTCAAGAGTGGCACACCAGGGCCGGGAAGTCTGCACAAGGCCCAGATTGCTGCTGGTAGGGGCCCATGGGCACTCCTGTGTGCTGGCAGACGGGGAGCAGGCAGCACTGGGCTCCTTCTTACCACACTCATCCTCTGGCCGGTTGGCACTGTGGAGCAGGGCCTGGTGAGGGTTCCGGAAGAGCTGGTCCCAGGGCACCGTGTGTACAAAGCAGAGGTGGGTGTTGCGGTGGATGAGGGCCAGCCCACTGCCCAGTTCCCGCAGCGAGCGCAGCCCCAGCGATCTGATGCCCAGCCCTTGCAGCGTCAGCGAGTAGGCACCACTGTGGGAGAGGAGCGCTCAGCTGCAGGGTGGACAGTGCATTACTGACTCCTCCCGTCAGCCAAGGGCCGCCCTCACCTTCCTCCTGTCCCCAGCACGCTAGGAAAACTCCCACAGCAAGGCTGCCGCTGGAGCCCCTGGGGAACAGGAGGACCTACCATGCCCAGAGCTTCTCCCAGGCCTCCCCTCCCCATCAGGCACCCTCTCCAGATGCTCACTCATGCAGAACACGTCCCCGGATCACTTGCAGGTTCTGGAAGACACCAAGGTCAGGCAGGCTGTCTGGCCACGCTGAGATGTATAGGTAACCTGCAGGCACAGGGTGAGGCTAGGGTGTGAAGACAGGATGAGCCCCCCAGCCCTTCAGAGCAGGACACAGAGGCAGAGCCCACCTGTGATCTCCTCCAAGGTCTCAAACACTCTGAGCTGCTCAGGCTGTAGGGGGGCAGTGTTAGAGGCTGGGTCCCTAAAAAAGATGAGGAGAGGAGTCAGCAGGGCCAGGAAGGGGGTGAGCACAACCCCCAGGGCTGGCCCTGCACCCTCCCCACCCTCTCCTCTATTAATAACTTCACTTAAACCCTATGCTCAAGCCCGGCTGTTCCCATCTTGAGCTACAAAGCCCAGACCCTAGTTTGGCAGGATCTATCAAAACAGTATTTATATCCTTTGATCTAGAAATTCTACTTCTAGGAATGTGGCCTAGAGGGACACTGGCCCCTGAGGCACGTACAAGGCAGAACTGTTTGTAAAAGCGAAAATTGGAAATGACCTAAACACTCACCAGTAAATAGGAGAGCTGTTAAATATAATCTTGATCTCTCCAGACTGTAGACAAAAACTAACATCTGGGAGCACTAAGTATGTGCCGCTCACTGTTCTAAGAGCTCATGCATGTTAACTCATTCAAACTTTATACCCACTTTATGAGGTTGGGGCTACTTCTGCCCCCATTTTAAAGACGAGGAAACTAAGGCACAGCAAGGTCACATGACCAGTAAGTGGTAGAGCCAGGTTTCAAACCCAAGTGGTCTGGCTCCCAGTCCTGGGCCTTAGCTGCTATTCTTTGCTGCTGCTGCCTGCTCCACAGCTGTTAAAAGAATGAGGCAGAACTGTCCTGACCAGCTCCCCAATGGAAGGGGCAGACAATACTCACTGTATGCTTCCATTTACATAAACCAACCCCCTCCCCAGCACAATTACGAAAACTGTTTCTTGCCCTGGCTGGGAAGCCCAGTTGGTGAGAGCGTCGTCCTGACACACCAAGGTTGGGCACATGCAAGAATCAACCAATGAATGCATAAATGGGCAGAACAACAAAGTGATGTTTCTCTCTCTCTCTCTCTCTCAAAATCAATAAATTTAAAAAAATTTAAACTGTTTCTCTGTGCATATCTATGTGGGTATAAATGGTCTAGAAGAAGACACACAACCTGTTAACTGTCTCCTCTGGAAAGGGGAGTAAAGGTAGAAGACGTGTTGAAAGGGATTTTTTTTTATTGAACTATAATTCACACACAGTAAAGTGCACAGGTTTTTACTATACAGTTTGATGAGTTTTGACAAATGCATCCACTCACAGCTCCACCACCCAGTCGAGATACAGAACATTCCCATCATCCAAGAAATTTCCTTTGTGTGATTTTCCAGTCCCCCCACCCCAGGGCAACCACTGCTCTGACTGCTGTCGCCAGGGTGGTTCTGCCGGGCTGAGCTTCAGAAGGGAATCCCAGTGTGGACTCTCTTGACTGGCTTATTTTGCTTTAACATCATGCTTTTGAGACTCATGTTGTGTGTATCAGTTTGTTTCTTTTTGTTACTGAGAATTTCATTGTATGGATAGAATGAATTGTAGGGAAGAATTGTAGGGAATCATCTATTCTTTCACCTATTGATACACATTTGTGTTATTTCCAGTTTGGGACTCTTAGGAATAAAGCTACTATGAACTCAAGGAGAACGTAACTCTATCTGGATGGCTTGGCCTCCATACAAGTGCACGTTCACGGATAACATGTCATTTATGGAAATGACGCCCCTCCCAGGAGTCCCTGCTCCCTCTGGTTTCCCACCTGCTTTCTCTAAATTCCTAGCCTCCCACCTCTATCTCCTGCCTGCCCCCCCCCTCCCCCAGATGCTGCCACTTCTGGGTCTTCAGGAATCAGTGACTGCCCTGATACTGTCTCAGACCATTACGCCTGCCCTTAACTCAGCATCCTTACCCCTCAAAGCTCTCTGGCAGAAATGCCAGGCTCCCAAAGATCTTCTTGCAGCCGGCAAACTCCTGGATATTGGCACTGGTGACCGCCCTCACCTCCCGCAGGTGTTCCATGCCCAGACCATAGCACACTGTGGGGAGTGGGGCAGGTGGTAGAGGGGCCATCTCAGCCCCCACATTGGCACTGATCAGCCCCTACATGGAGCATCACGAACTCAAACTCTTGGGTCCTGTCCACAGTCCCTCCTAGGGCCACATGCCCCCTCCCCACACTTGCAAGATATGGGGGGGCTTGTGGGAATGATCTGGGGAGGGGCAGGGGCAGACAAGGCCTGAGTCCCGGGAAGGTCTGAGGAAGGGTGGGACAGTGGGCGAGGCCAGGCTGGGTGTGAGGAAGGACAGGAACCGCAGCATGGTTTGGGGGGTGGCAGTGGATACCTCGGGCACAGGGCTTGCTGCATTTCTCACACCGCTGTGTTCCATCCTCAGCTGTCACCTCTTGGTTGTTCAGGGGACAGACCAGGGTGCAGGATCCCACATCCGTTGACAGGTAGTTGTCTGAGGAGACCAGGACTGTGTGTCCACATGCCCCAGCCCTTCACACCCCACCATGAGCAGTGTCACCGTGTGCAAGTGGTATAAAAAGAATGACATCCGCCAGTACTGAAATGTCCCTACAATAGGTCTGAGCAGTTACCATTCAGTTACTCCTTACAGCAAACCCATGCAACAGACACAGTGAGAGTCCCATTTTGCTAAACAGGAAACCAAAGCACAACTTTATGTAAATTACTCAAGATCATTGTGCTAGTGAGTGGAAGAGCCAGGATTTGAACTCATTCAAACTTTATAACCACTTTATGAGGTTGGGACTATTATTGTACCCATTTTAGAGATGAGGGAACTGAGACATAGTAGGGTCATATGACCAGTTAGCAGCAGAGCCAGGTTTCAAACCCAGGCAGTCTGGCTGCCGAGCCTGAGCTCTTAGCTTCTACTCTTTGCTGCTGCCACCTGCTTCAAAGCTGTTGAAAAAACAATGCAGCTGGACAGGAACCATCATGGCCAGCTCTCCAAAGCAAAGGGCAGACCATACTTACAATATGCTCTCATTTACATAAACTAACCTCCCCAGCAGAATTACTAAAACAATGTTTCTCCCTGGCACTCACAGGGACAGGTGGTCACACAGCTGGCACCAAAGGTGTAACGACCCTCTGGGTTGGGCATGGACTCAAAGGTATCCGTGTTGTAGATGACCAGGGCTGGGCAGTGCAGCTCACAGATGCCACTGTGGTTGAAGTGGAGGCAGGCCTGGGGGGGACAGGCAGCTGGTAGTCACTGGGCTATTTTTCCTTGATGTGCCAGGGGCAATAGGGCAGTGCCAGACTGGGTGCCCCTTCCCTAGCTCCCCGAGGGGTGGGGCTCAGTGGGCACATACCAGGCAGTCAGAGTGCTTGGGGCCCGTGCAACCAGCAGCACACTGCTCATGGCAGCAGTCGGTGGGCTTCGGGCCCTTGCAGCGGGCACAGCCACTGGCACACACAGTTTGAGTCACTGTCAGGCAAAGAGCAGGATGAGGGCTGGGTGGCCACCCAGACACCAGACCCTCACCAGCATCACCTTCTGAGGAAGATTCCCTGCCCCAGGGAACACACCTGAAGCCTTGTAGCCCACTCCTCCCCTGTCACCTTTATTCCACCTGGCCCTGGCCCCCAAATTCTGTGCCTTCCTAAGACTCACAGTTCTGACAATCCTTGGAACTTTCTCCCCAGCAGCGGGAGGCTTCACAAGCTGGAGAACAGGGTTGGCCTGGGGAGAGAACAGAGAGACAGTGAGAAAGACAGAGACCAAGAGGCACAATGCACAGTGAGGGTGAGACCTAGGCAAGCAAAGGGGATTCCAACACAGGGACACAATCAAGAAACAGAGGGAGCTGGGTTAGTGTGGCTTAGCGGTTGAGCATCAACCTAGGATCCAGGAGATCCCAGTTCGATTCCCAGTCAGGGCACAGGCCCGGGTTGCGGGCTCGATTCCCAGTGGGCGGCATGCAGGAGGCAACTAATCAGTGACGACTCTCTCATCATTGATGTTTCTATCTCTCTCTCTCCTTTTCCCTTCCTCTCTCTGAAATCAATAAAAATATATTTTTTAAAAAAAGAAACAGAGGGAGACAGGACAGAGGGCCAGAAAGATTAAGAGACACAGAGATACCAGGAGGCATCAGGAAAGAGGAAATGGGTGGTGTTAGTGCCAGGGTTGGGGGACGTAACCAGGAGTTGGGGCAGGGGCTGTCTGAGAGAGAAGAGGCTGTAGGCAGGGAAAAGCATGCTTACAGGCCCGGGAGCGGTTGGTGTCTATCTTCATGAGGGCCAACTGGTTGTTCTTGTGGAAGATGTCCTTCCACAAAATCGTGTCCTGGTGGCAGAGCTGCGGGTTCTGCTGGATCGAGACCCCTCCCTTCAGGATCTCTGTGGGATGGACAATAACCAGGGGTCTGTCAACTTCTGCACACACTCCAGCCTTCTAAAAGGGGAGTAGGCTTCTTAAACACACCCCAGGGTCCCCAGGGAACAGAGAAGACATGTGTACTCAGCCAAGAAGTAGGCAAAACCCACCCAGCATCCTAATTATCAAACTGTGTGGGCTGGAACAAGCTGTGACTCCCGGGAATAAGGGAAATCTTGTTTTAATCTTCACGAGGGCAACTTTCCTAGCTCCACCTGCATCCATCCAGAAGGGATGCAAGTTCTAATTTACACAAAGCCTCCCCATGGCTACCAGAGGCCCCAATCAGCTGTCAAGAACCAGATTTCAGGGATGAGATGACCACCTGTGAGGCTTCGAAGCTGCAGCTCCCGCAGCCCTCCTGGGGCAGCCCCTGCAACAGGGGTGGCACCGTCCAGCAGGTCTCCGTTGTTCAGCACGGCCAGAGCATAGTTGTCCTCAAAGAGTTGGGTGCCTCGTATGATTCGCAGCCTTTGCAGTGGGACCTGTCTCACTTGGTTGTAAGCGATGAGCACGTAGCCCTGCACCTCCTGGATATCCTGGGAGGGCACAGGGCAGGCTAGGGCTGAGGCAGGCCTGGGCCCTAGAACACTACCACCCTCCAGGGCCTCCTCAGGGTTACCCAGTGCTTGGAGATCATGGGCAAGGCCCCTATCCCCTGAGCAGTCCTGATCTCTTTGTGTGTAAAATGGAAATCAAGGCCACTCCCCACCTCCCCAAACCAGATTCTGTATGATCAAGAAAGATAATGGGGAGGGGAGCACTTTGTGAGCTGTAAGCAAATGCCCCACCCTCTCCGCATCTCAGTTTCTTCAACTATAAAAGGAAAGGCCTGGACAAGATGACACCTGCTCATTGCATACATGACCCTACTGCAGGGCACCATGGAAATAGCTCAGCAGGCTGGTTTCCACTCTCCTGCTCATGACCCTTTCACATACATTTCCCATTTTTCTTCAAAATGGGCCCCCTGGGGGAGTGAAAGCATGCCTATTGCTCCCAATATACAGATAAGAAAACTGAGACCCATTGAAGACAAGAACCTAGACCACATTCACATAGCTTGTCAGTGGCAGAACTGACCCTGGAACCCATATCTCCCAACAGTCCTTTCACTATACCAGGTGGGAGAGGGACAGTGGCTGGGCAGTTGAACAGGGGGAGGTGATCATGCTGGCAAGAAAGCAAAAATTTAGCAAAGGGAGAGATGCATTCCACCTAGAGATGTCCATGGCCAACCAGGCTATAAAGAGGTAATCAACTGGTCTTGCATTAGAATGGATAGGGGTTAGACGTCAAAAAGGACTTCCAGTTGAGGAACCATGAGAGGAAATATAGGCCCAGCTGGAGGTAGGGACTGGCTGGGTTGCCAGGGCTCTCACCTGTAGAAAGAAGAGACTGGCATTGGCAGGCAGGTAGGTGAGCTCCAGGTTACCCTGCACCACCTGACAGCCCTGGTAGAGGTGGCGCAGCATGTCCAGGTGGGTCTCAGGACTGGCTGGGAGCTGCAGCTTCATGTCTGTGCCGGTGCACACTGGCAGGAGGGAGGAGGCGGGTCAGAGGGCACTGTCCAGTGAGCTTCTCCAACCCAGCTGCCTCTTCCACACTCACTCCCCAGAGTCATGCCATCTTGGACAGCAAGGACCCCTCCTCCTATGTCCTTTGCACCTGCTGAAGGTGCAACAGCAAAATAAAGTTTGCCAGTTTGGGAAGAGGAGGGAAATCAGGGGAGAGACTCTGTCTGACTCAGCCCATTCTGAACACCCAGAGGGGGCCCTACTGTGCCAGCCCTAGGGAGTTTGCCCTCCCAATCCAGGGGGTTGGCTGCAAAGAAAGCCTCTCTTTGTCCCAAACCCACGACTCAGGGCCAAGGGGTAAAAAATCCCCCGAGAGGTGATGATGAATCATGAACCCTCTGGATACCCCCTTATCCCTCTCCCAAGCGAACAAACTCAGGGTATTCTCCCCACCCCGTTCCAGCACCACCCACATGCCAACCTCCTGGCAAGGGATACCCACCCCCACAATGCCACCCAGAAAGTGGGGAAGGAGGGTCAGCTGGAGTCATAATAGGAACATGGAGACCACCAGCAACCTCTAGAATTCCCCTAGGCAGAGACAAAGAGTATCAGACCCCATCTATGGGCATCCGGACCCAGGCTGCAGATCCTGGGCCAGAATGATGCCTACTCAGAAGGCTCCTACTCTGGTACCTCACCCTTGCCACCTCCTCAGGGCAAGACTCCAGAAGTAGCTGGCAGAATCTATGCCACGAAACTCCTGCCACAAGAGCACTACGTCAGCCCTGTGTACCTGCCCAGTGCCAACTATCAGCCAAGGGACATCAAGATGAACTGCCCCCAGGCCCACCTGGACCCTAGCTGGTTGTCCCTGAAACCAGAAATACCCACAAAGCCCAGAAATATAGGAAGGGTATACTATCCCCGGTGAGGGGGCACTGGGGGCAGCAGCTGGCACAATGCCTGCTAGCAAGGGAGAGATTAAACTGTCCAGTTGAACTTGTTTTTCTGCTCTGGTGAGAAGATGAATCACCTGGTGTGTCTTGCCCAGGAGGGCGTGCCAGGGGGTGGGGGGGGTGGAGGGCACCCCCAGGTACACAGGCCCACAGGTGCCTGAGCTGCCCGGAATGCCTGCTGGTCCCCACTCCACCTCCCACGGACTACGTGCAGATTCAGAGGGACAGCACAGTGGCTGACCTCAAGGTCTGACCCCAAGGCTCCTGCTCTCCCAGAAACTTGGAGCTGGAGATGAAATCATGGGAGGAGGGGGGGAGGCAGTAATAAGAAATACCCCCTGCCTCCAGAAAGCTGGGGAAAGGTTTGTGGGGCAGGCCACCCACCCCCCGGTTATTTCCTGGGCCTCCTAGTAACATCCAGAGTGGTCTGTGTTTCCACCCCTCTGGGCAGACAGCGAAGGACGCAAACAGGGAGGAAGGGGAGGGCCTAGAAATAGAATCAAGGGTCCCTGCCCCCAGGCTCCCAAAAGAAACAGGAGCCGGGGGTGGCAGGCCAGGCCCAAAATAACGCCCGCTGCAAGGACCTCCCCCTCGGCCTCCGCAGCTTCAGCTGCTTTGTAGTCACAGCTGTCTCTAGGCCCAGACCCCAAGGCCCTGGCCCAAACCCGGGAAAGGGACCAGCAGAGCTGGGGCAGGGGCTGTCTCCACCCCCTGTAGCCCTGTGCTGCTTCCGAAGGACACCAGCTGTGGCAGCCAGGCAATAGGAAAACAACAACAATGGAACACTGGGGGCAGCTGTATTAACTGAGGGCCTACTGTGTGCTCAGTAGGCATTCTGGGTGGAGTGTCACAACATCCTGCAGAGGCTGGGACTGAGACCCCTATTTTGCAAAGAAGGAAACTGAGGCTGACAGGGGTTATTCTCCCAAGATGATAAAGCCTGTGAGAGGCAGGATTAAACTCAAGTCTGTCTGACTTCAGATTCTACATTTCTTCCACTAGGCCTAACTGCACACACAGATTCACCCCACACAAACATAAATACACACCAACTCTACTGATGCCACAGAGAAACATTACAAGTGCTGGGTAGGGCAGAATGGCTGGGCTGGGCAGGAGGAGCAGAAAGAATAGCAGCCCCGCCCCACTAGCGAATTCGTTTGTGGCTCATTTGAGTCTGATTAAGACTTTTTAAGTGTTTGCAACAGGTGGTAAAATTGGTGCCCCGAGACCCACTCCCAGTGAGCTGAAAGCTTGTGTGCTAATCCCCACAAGCACGCACGAACCTGATATGAAGCCAAAAAGGCCTTAATACCTCCCTTACCTCCACCTCCCTGCCCTTCACCCCATCCTTCCTCCTCCTCCTCCTCCTCCCCCATTTCCTCACCAGTTCCTCACTCCTCATTCCTCTTTCCTGGGGGGGGGGG